GTCACAAGCCAAGATTACAGTGAGAAAAGTCTTTTTCTTTCTCTAGTGAGCAATATCTCTGGTCCTCTTTTTAATTTGAAATGCCTTGTGAAATCCTCCTGTTGTAGCCTTCTGAGTAACTGGGGTTACAAACCTGCATGCCCAGGACCAACCCATAACATCTGACAGTTACAGGTGGACAAGGACGGCCAGCCACCCTATGTAGGACTTGGGGACCTTCCTTTCTTTCCTTTCCTTCCTCCTGCCTCCTTCTTAACAGCTTTGTCGAAAAGTCATTCACTGGGCCAGTGAGACGGCTTGTCAAGGAAAGACGCTCTCTACCAAGGCTGACAACCTCAGTTCAACCCTGGGACCCACATGCTGGAAGGAGAGAACTGGTTCCTGAAAGCTGTCCTCCAACCGCCACATATGTGCCATGACACTCACCAAAAGTATACAAATTAACAGCTTTTGGAGTATTAAAGGGTATATATCTATTGCCATAATCCATTTATTTGTTGTGTTAAACCTGAGAATTACAAGGAGAAGAAACAAGCCCACGATTGTCTGTGCTAGGTTTCAACCCTGCAACAAATGACTGAGGTGCCTATTTAACACATTAAAGTGGACCTGGCCGCCAGGTTCTCCCTGCATCCTTCAGCCCCTACCTGTTACAGGGTCCTCCTGGCTGGCATACCCCGCCCCCTACCCAGCACTCTCCAGGTCAGGGGGCTGGGCCGCTCTTCCCTATATAATCAACCATTTCGGTTACCTGCCCTCTTTGGACCTTTGGGCCTCCTGGCTACTGTATCTGGTTCGCCTCTCTCCTCTCCCCCTTCCCCTCCACCCTCTCCTCCTCACATGGCAGAGTTCAGTCTGGTCATGTCCACTCTGGACTCTCCCAGATGTCCCTGCCTCTGCCTCTGGCTATGCTCGCCACGTATCTACAATAAACCTTCTCCATCATACATAGGAGCAGTCATGTTTCCTTTCTTTTCCTTTTTATTTCTTTTTTTTTTTTTCATTCAGTCGTATTAAAGCAAGCTGTATTTCGGGGTGCACCGGGGATTGGCTAGTCCAGCTTCTTCTCCCTAAATCAAGATTTTAGAGAGCAACCCCTGCCTGTCTCTTGAAGTAACTTTTACAGGAGAGATAAGGTGTTCACAGGGGCGAGAGTGGCTGTTACACATTGTTAGAAAGATACAATGAAAGGGAAGGAAAGGGGAAGAATATACATCATGTGAACGGGGTCACAAGTTTACTGTAGGTTTAAAAAACATGTTTTGCAGTTTACATCAGATCTAAGAAACAGGAACTTATTCTTAATTATAAATAGAAATTTTAACTTGCAAGGACTTAAACACAGGACACACAGGAACTTAATTCTTTAACTACAAACAGAAACCTTGAGCTGCAAAGGACAAACTTATTCTTAACTATCCTAACTGCAAACAGAACCCTTAACCTGCAAGGTGTATTTTCCTGTTTGGTTTCACATTAACTTTCTAGGTATACTGTTGCTGTTTTAGTCTCCCAGTGGTTTGAGGCTGGGTGTCATTATGTAACTCTGGCTGACCTGGAGCATTCTATAGTCCAAGTTGATCTTGAATTTGAAATCTTCCTTACTCAGCTTCCCGAGTGCTGGGTTTACAGATGCGTGTCTCAAAGGAAGTGGACAACGTTTCTGAGAATGACAAGGGAGTTGTCCTCTGGCCTGCACACTCATGTATACACACATGCACCTGCAGATACACACGGTTTTTTAAAATGGCCTTGAGGTGGCAAGATGGCTCAGTGGGAAGCGCTTGTTGCACAATTCTAACAACTTGTGTGAGATCCCTAGAATCCACATGAAGATGGAAGAAGAGAACTGACTCCAGGAAGTTGTCCTCTGCATATGCATTCACTCCACACAACAATAAATGCATACAAATTTAAATGACCTTATAGCCGCTGGGCATGATGGCACCTCAGGCAGCAGAGATAAGTATCAGTGCAAGTTCAAGGTCAGCCTGATCAACAAGCTCTAGGCCCCTGGGGGTGTATTGCAAGATCCTATCTCAAACAAACAAATAAAAACCCAAAGCTGGCAGCTATAAAGATGAGGACACACAGAAAGAGTGCTGTGTGTCTACACAGGCAGGGACCCAAGTATAGCAGCTGCCAGCTAAGGAACCCCAAGACCGAAGGTATGGAGAGGCAAGGCAGAATGCCCAGAATCCTGGGTTTCAGAAGGAATATGGCCTCCCTGACACCGTTATCGATCCAATAAATTCCTGCAGCTTTAAACCACCTTGTGAGAGGCACTCTGATGCGGGAGCCCTTAGGAAATGTATACATTCTACAACAAATAGGACAGCATACTGTTTACTGAGGATTGGGGCCTGGATGGTCGTGTGAGAACTGGGCAGATGGTAAGAGTGCTGATTCAACAATATTAGGAGGCTATGAGAACTAGTCTGGGTTGTTGACACACGTGGAAAAAGAGAACTTCAGTTAAGAATTGCCTCCCATCGGATTGGCCTGTGGGCAGGTCTGTGGGGCATCTTCTTGATTGCTGATTGATGTGGAGTGTTCAGCCCACTGTGGGATGTGCTAACCTTGAGCAGGTGAGCCCGGACTGTAAAAGAAAGAGCTGGGTTCAGGGTGGTAGCATCAGAAGCAAGAGAGAGTTGTGAATTCAAGGCAGGCTGATCTACACAACAAGTTCCAGGACAGCCAGGGCCACATTTCAACATTTCAAAAAGGAGGGAGGGAGGGAGGGAGGGAGGGAGAGAGAGAGAGAGAGAGAGAGAGAGAGAGAGAGAGAGAGAGAGAGAGAGCGAGAGCGAGCACTGAGGGCTGGAGAGATAGCTCAGTGGTTAAGAGCACTTGCTCCTCTTCCACAGAACTAGGCTCAACTGCCAGCACCCACATAGCGTCTCACAACCATCCATGACTCCAGTTCCAAGGGATCCAGCGTCTTCTTCTGACCTCCATGGGCACATCACACATGTGGTGCACATATATACATGCAATATACATGCAGGAAAAACACTCATACACATAAAATAAATTTAAAGCCAGGATGCTCAATGCCCAGCCAGCCTAGCTGAATCCAGGAGTTGGAGGTTTAATTTTTCAGAACGTGTCTCAAAAGAAGGTAAAGCGCAACAGAGGAAGATACCTGATGTTGACCTCTGGTCTTCACACGAGCATGCATGCACCACATGTGCACACACACACACACACACACACACACACACACACACACGTGCACGAACCACAAGGGCACATACACCACATGTACACACATACACTACGTATACAAACCCCACCCCACTCACCCCAAAAAGAAAAAAAAGTAACTTTTTAACTCTATTTCAACTTTTTTTTTTTTTTTTTTTTTTGGTTTTTCGAGACAGGGTTTCTCTGTGTAGCTTTGTGCCTTTCCTGGAGCTCACTTGGTAGCCCAGGCCGGCCTCGAACTCACAGAGATCCGCCTGGCTCTGCCTCCCGAGTGCTGGGATTAAAGGCGTTCGCCACCAACGCCCGGCTTTATTTCAACTTTTTAAAGGTTTATTTTGTGTGTATGGATGTTTTTTTTGCCTGTATGTATGTCTGTGAACCATGAGTGTGCCCGGTGCCCAGGGAGGCCAGAAGAGAGCAGTATGTCCCCTAGAACTGGAGTTACAGATGGTTGTGAGCTGCCATGTGGGTGTTGGAAATTGAACCTAGTACTCTGGAAAAGCAGCCAGTGCTCTTACCCAAGAGCGGTCTCTCCAGCCCTGGAAAGGAAGCTTAACTGGCTGGTTTGCTGAAGGGCATCTTGGAGACAAGACCAGGCTCTCAGGGTGTGGTCAGAAAGCCACAGCTATTTGTTGGGGTGGACAGGGACTTCCTCTCCTCTTCCATGTGGGAACAAGAGACTGAAGACACTCAGCATGGCCTTTGAGGGGCAGATGGACAGGAGCTCCAGAGTTCCTTTCATGGAGGCCCTAGGGGCGCTACAGGGTCGCAGGAGTGGCGAGTAGCAGGAGTCAGGTTGGCTTGTGTGTCTGTGGAGGATGCAGGGATTTCAAGGAGTCCTAGACCCCAACTCCCTCCTGGCTATCCCCCTGTAGATGTCACCTGTGCTGCAGGGGGATGAACATATAGATGGGAACTGGATGGCTTGGGGAGGGACATCCTGCAGGCCCCACCCTCTCGTTGGTTGGTCAACATCACACTGGCTTCTTCCTGGCCCCATCTGAGAGTCCTCAAGGCCCTGTGAGCATGGCTGTGCCCAGTGAGGCCCAAACCTGGACTGCCCTGCCCCCTCCACCCGCCTCATCATCAGTCTGGATGAACAATTACCTAGAGATCATCTTTCTGGGGCTTAAGCGTGGGTGGGAGCAGATGGGATGTGAGCTGGGGATTTGGGGATGGGGAAAGGTATCTGCTCCCCCTTCCCCCACATCCTGGCCCTTTAAAAGGCTCTCTCAGGTGTGGGGGCCCTGTCACAGGCCAGGAGGAAAGTGTGGGAGACACATGATGGATCAGGAAGAAGAAAAGAGCGAGGGGGTCTCAGACCTTCTGGACAAGGTAAGAGGCTCTGCCTGACACCACCACCAGCTTCTTGAAGTCCGTGACTGACAGGATTAATTCATTTGTAGGGCATCTAATTAGCAAGCAAGTCTCTGGGGTCCCCTGACCCAGTTACCATAACACATGGGGGGTTTAGGTAGGAGGGTATAAGTGCCCCTCCCCCTGCCCAGGGCAAATGGATGGATTCTTAGCACTGTCCCCTCAAGAGATAGTAGGTGTTATGATTTAGGGGCACTTCTGAGCCCCATTTCCCTAGTAAGTGTCTCAACCCCCAAACCAACCCGTCTGGTCTTGATCTAGGACAGTGGTGGAATAAGGTCCCTAGAGGCAGTACCTTGTGAAATTGTGCTGCAGGCTGGGGCCCCAGGCCGGGAGGTGGGGGGTGGGGGAGTACAGGGAGGTCAGGGAAGGAGACTCATGCTTCATTTAGAGAAACTCTACAGACCTGTGAGGACTATGGTGAGAGCAGAGATGGGAAGGCAGGCACTGGTTCAGGTGGCAGCTGGCTGGAAGACAGGAACGGTACAGTACCCAACTAAACCAAGCACGTCTGCCCCCAAGGCAGGTTCACCGGACCAAGAAGGCTTCTTCAACCTGCTGAGCCACGTGCAGGGCGATCGGATGGAGGAGCAGCGCTGTTCCTTGCAGGCTGGTCCAGACCAGACCCCAGAAAGCCGTGAGCTGGGCATGATGCAGGGTTGGGGTGGGGGTGGGTGCTGCCTGAGAAACATGCAGGCAGGCATGCAGGGGTTCTGGGGTCTTGTGGATCTTGGGACTCAAGGTGGAGAGTACCATGTGAGCTCCTTTGGAGTCTATATTCATGACCACCTGTCTCTGCTCCAAGCAGAGGGTGGCCCTGCTCCTGAGATGGACAATCTCATGGATATGCTGGCTGACACCCAGGGCCGCCGCATGGATGACCAGCGTGTAACCATCAATTCCCTACCTGGCTTTCAACCTATTGGTCCCAAGGTAGGTGATGTCTAGATAACCTGTGGAGTGTAGCAGTATACCCCTCTAGATCTATGCCCCATCTCCAGCCAGGATAGGACGGGACCCGATCTCTAACTCTGGAAAAGGAAAGTGCAGATGGGTGTCAGAGGGGCTTAGGATCATGCAGGACTCACGCTGGTGTCAGAACTATGGCTGGAAGTTACGGTTCCTGCCCAACATCTGCATATCTGGGAGAGGCCACAGGGAGAAAAGTTTTCCTATGATGACACTCCTTGGAGGAGGGCATATGAGCTCACACACCTGTGTATTAATGAAGAGCATGGGTTCTGTTTGGGGACATTTTCTTTGTTTTTGAGATAGGGTTTCATGTAGTTTGGTTGGCCTCAAACCCATAGCCAACGATGACTTTTAAACTTATTATTTTTCTACATGTACCTCCTTGGTGCTGGGATTGCAGGTATGAGCCACCAGGAGTGGTCTGTGTGGTTAGGGATGGAATTCAGAGCTTGGATACATTCTGTCAGCTGAGCTACATCCCAGGCCTGTGTCTGTGCACGCTAGCACACATGTTACAGGGCCATGTTGGGGATGGAATTCAGAGCTTTGACACATTCTCTGTCAGCTGAACTACACCCCAGCCCTGTGTCTGTGCACACTAGCATACATGTTACAGGTCCATGTGCACACACGCAGGTGGAGGTCAAAAGTCAAGTCCAGCAGTTCCTCAGCTGCCATCACCTTGTTATTTGAGAGAGGACCTTTCGCTGCCCTGGAACTCACCAAGTAGACTAGGCTCCCTGGCTAGGCAGCCCTAGGGATCCTCCTGACTTTCCTCAAGCACCGAGATTACAAGTGCATAAGACCACATCTGGCTTTTCACCTCAGAGCTGGGGATTAAACTCGGGTCTTCAAGTGCACACAGCAAGGATTTTAATGAACGAGTCATCTTGTCGGCTCATTTATTTGTTTTCGAGACAAGGTTGTAAGCCTGGAACTTTCTATGCAGACCAGGATGGCTTTGGACTTGAGATAATTCTCCTGCCTATGCTTCTTGAGTGCTAGGATTACAGGTGTAAACCAATAGCCCAAGTTCTGATCAAGACCCCACGGAGAGCTGACCATCTCATACCAAATACCACACTGATCGGCAGATGAAGCACACAAAGGAAATGTTGTTTGGAGGCACCTCTGGCTTGCTCTTTCCTTGGTCCCCTCTGTCTGACCCCTCTTCATCTGCAGGATGGAATGCAGAAACGACCTGGGACCCTCAGCCCTCAACCCCTGCTCACCCCTCAGGACCCTGCTGCACTCAGCTTCCGCAGGAACAGCAGCCCCCAACCCCAGACACAAGCTCCTTGAGAGTTCTAGCCACCCTGGGCCCCCCACCGGCCCCTGAAAACAACAATAAAATGCTTGGCACTAGTAATAAAGAACTGAGTGTGTGTTATTTCTGGGTGGAGGACTTGAAGGTCTCAGGAGCTCTGCTGAGCAGCTTGAAGGAGTCTCTCTTCCCTCTGCTTCCGGATCTTCTGTTTGAACTCTTCTAGCTCCTGGCGCTGTGATGAGGAAGGGTGTGATGGGTAAGGAGGAGAGCACACACCTCAGGCCTGACTCACTCCCACCAGCCTCCTTTAGCTTTAGTATCCATCCTGGGACCCCATGCCAATCACAACCACCATACCAGTGAGTTCAGCTCCACCCTTCAGGGAGAAGGTACTATATGAAACCATTTGTGTCCTCCCACTCCTTAAGACAGGGTCTTCTCACGTATCACAGGCTAGCCTTGAGCTCACTATGCAGCCCAAAATATCCAGAATTCCCGATCCTCCTGCATCCGTCTCCTCAACGCTGGAATGCTGAAATGACAGCCCTCTCCGCTTCCTCTCTCCAGCCCTATGTAGCCCAAGCTGGCTTCAATCTGTTAATCCTCCTACCTCTGCTTCCAAGAGGTCACAGGTGTATACCATCACGAACAGTAAGAAACTTGTACGGAAACAAGGTCTCCAGCCCAGGATAGCCTGGACTCCTGTTTGTTTTTCTGTTTCCAATTTCCTATCTATGGGTGAGGGTGAAATTTTCATTCCAAGCCCATCCAGGGTAAGGTGACACAACCCCTTGGAGGAAGAACAGGTTACTTACCTGACCCTCCTTCTCTCGTGGCCACAGCTCCCTCTGTGGAACAAAGTCAACAGGTGAGAACACAAGCCAGGAGAATCCAGAGTCCCACATTCAGAGCAGGGTTGACTCATGGGAGGCAGGCAATGGTCCCCAGCAACAAGTTAGTGCTTCATACCCTGCTTTCCCCATCCGCAGGAATGATCCTGAAAACTCTCCTGATACCCACCTTGCGCTGGACAACATAGTCTTCAAACCAGTCTGCCTGATTAGAGATCCAGAACATAACCACGGGGAAAGTGAGGTAGAGTGACATCTGCAAAAGCAAGGGAGGATGGGCAGAGCCCAGAACTGTCACCACCCCAGCACAGGGGGATTGAAGAAGAGCCCAGAAGACAGATCTATCCTCCTACACAGGCCAGGAGCCCCGCCTCACGGCCTTCGTAGTAGTCCTGTCCAAGTCTCACTCTCAAACACACACACACACGCACACACGCACGCACGCACGCACGCACGCAAACTTACACAAAGGCGCGCTTTGGGGGTTCTAGAGCTCCCACTACAAAGACATATCCTTGAGACCGTATTTTATCTCCCAACCTGATCCCCGTAGCATTTCAAATAGAGGGGCCTCATTTTTTTTTCAATTATACTCCCCTACATTTAGGAGTCCGCCTATCTGAGATCCATTAGGAACCCAGAGCTTCCCTTCTGGAAATTCCGTCCTGGATCGGAAGCCTCCCTTCACCCCTGTATGAGACGCTTCCTCAGACTAAACCCAGACTCTCCAATCTAAGCCCCACATCTATAGCTCCTTCCGCAGCGGTTCCAATACAAATCTCAGATACTTTCTCCGCGGAACTCCCCGCTCTGCACTTCGCTCACGTCCAAAAGCTATTCTCAAATTCTGAAAGACCCCTGGTCCAGACGTCCAACCCACTCCTGAGCTCACTGACCCGAAACACCTCCAGCTTCACCCCCATCTCTCCTCTCCGGTTCTACGAAGCCACTTCCGCCCAAAGGCGACGCTCCAGCAATGCAAAATCTCATTGGTGCATCTCAAGACCAGACACTGAAGCGGAGTGGCCAATAACCCGGCATCGGTGGCGTCATCTTCCAGCGCCCTTGTCCGCTTCCGGTCACAGCCTTGACGATACAGAATTCAACCGAGCGGGCCCTGCAGTCCGTGAGGCGCAGCCAATAGAGAACGAGTCTGGTCGGAGAGGGCGGGCCTTCTGTGCGTGACGCCACCAGAGCGCGACTCTCGTTTGTACCTGGAGAGCCAGGAAGATGGTGGTGATGGCGCGAGTTCCGCGTCCCGAGCGGCCGGATCTTGTTTTTGTAAGTCTGCGGCGACACCAAGGGTGGTCCGCGAGGGAAGATCCGAAGCTAGGTTCCTTCTAGGATCGGAATCTGGCTCTCGGGGGGTTTAGGCCCAGACTGTGCATGCCCAATCCGTGGGGACCCTGACGAGCCAGAGGCGACATGTCAAAACACTGATCAGGCGGGAAATAAAGAACCAGCTCCTCCATGGCCTGAGTGAGGAGCTGCTGTTGAGGTTAAGGTTTTGATGTCTGGGGCCGGGAGAAGTGAGGTCGAGCGGGGAATGGAATAGCAGGGAAACGGCATGGATTTTGATAGGCTTAGTGACCAGGTTAGAGTTCTGGCTTCCGGATAACACCTTGACTTCTGGGGCTACAAGAACCTGGGAGTATGAAGAAAAGACAGTGATGCGGACGGCCCCGGGGATCCTAAAAAGGTGAAAATTTGGTGCCTGAAATAGAGGCCCCATATTTCAACCGCGTTCACAGTGTTCTGTGTTTAGGGCCATTAACGTGCCTGTGTGTTTTTGAGTTACTGGGGTTTAACCAAGGGTCTCGTGCATGCTAAGCAAGCACTGTACAATTGAGCTATGTCCCCCCACACAATGTACCCCACCTCCTGAGATAAAGCTTGCGGTTTCTGGGGTAGAGTTGAGCTAAAGTACAGGTTAATGGGATCCTGAAGGGCCAGAAGTTTGATGGACTAGGTGGCTTAAGTAAAGATTTAGTCACCGGGGCTGAGGAGCTGGCTCAGTTGGTAAAGTGCTTGCTGTACAAGCCTAGGACCTCAGTTCAGACCCCTGGCACCTACATAAAATGCTAGTGAGAGACCCTGTCTCAAAAACAAGGTGGAGAGCAACTGAGGAGGACCTCTGGCTTCTGCACCAGCTCCCACATATATGCATACGTGAATGTATACACACACAGGAAAAAAATTGTTTTTGTTTTATTTGAGATAGGATCTCACTGTGTATGTAGCCCTGGCTGGCCTGGAACTTACTATAGACCAGCCTGCCCTCAATCTCATAGAGATCCACCTGTATCTGCCTCCTGAGAGGAGGCTGGAAGAAAAAAGATAAATTTAAAACTTTAAAATTTTGGGCCAGGTGTGGTAGCACACACCTTTGATCCCAGCATTTAGGAGGCAGAGGCAGGTAGGTCTCTGTGAGTTTGAGGTCAGTGTGGTCTACATAGTGAGTTCCAGGACAGCCAGAGCAAATAGTGAGACCCTGTCTCAGGAAAAAAAAAAAATTTAAATTTCATTATCTGAGTTTGACATGAAGATAGGTCTGGTGGTGACAGTATGAGTGTGGGGGATCAAAAGCCTGATGTCTGGGAAGAAGTGTGTTGTGAGTAGATACAACCTGCTCTCCATGGAGGCCTGGCGCCTAGACCTGTGCCCTGGTGTTATGAGAGTCTAGAGATTATGAGGAAAGCATGGGAGAGGATTATGGATGGTGAAAATGTACAAAACTCACTGTGTGTATGAAATTGTCAAAGAATTTTTTAGAGTGGGGATTGGGACCAGGGAGTGGGCAGTGGTATTTCCTGGCCACTGCTGATAATCTGTGCAGGGGTCTCATTAACAGCTGAGAAGTCTGCATGGGCAGTTGAAATCTAAGGCCCAGGGGTCTGAACTGGCACTCTGGCACAATGGTTCTTAACCTTGCTCATGCTGCGACCCTTTAATACTCTTCCTCATGTGATGACCCCCAACCATAAAGTCATTTTTGTTGCTACTTCATAACTGTAGTTTTGCTACTGTTATGAATCACAGTGTAAATATCTGTGCTTTCTGATGGTCTTAGATGATGCCTGTGAAAGGGTTCTTCGTCCCTCAAAGGGGTCGCAACCCACAGGCTGAGAACAACTGCTCTAGCATCTGAGTGACTGATAATCTAGTTTTGACAGAGGAAGAAACCATGCCTGGGACTTTGCTGTGTTGTGTTTGTTTGCTTGTTAAAAAAATATGTTTTTACTATCGTGTTTGTGTGTGTCCTTGTTTGAGTATGTGTGTGTAAATCAGGTGTCCACAGAGGCCAGAGGATGGAGTTACAGGTGCTTATGAGCTGCTGGACATTGAGTGCAGGGAACATGAGGACTGAGTTCGAGTCCTCTGCAAGAGCAGTTTGTTTTTAGGTATGGTGTGTGTGTGTGGTGTGGGAGTGTGTATGTGTGAATATGTATTGGCCAGAAATAGACATCAGCTGTGTTCCTCAGTTGCTCTCCGTCTTACTTTTTTTTTTTTTCTTTTTTCGAGACAGGGTTTCTCTGTAGCTTTGGAGCCTGTCCTGGACTAGCTCTGTAGCCCAGGCTGGCCTCGAACTCACAGAGATCCGCCTGCCTCTGCCTCCTGAGTGCTGGGAATCCAGGCGTGCGCCACCACCGCCTGGCCTGTCTTACTTTTTAAGAGAAAGTCTTCTCACTGAACCTGAAGCTCACTGGCCAGCTAGAGGCTGGCCAATGAGCTCTAGGATCTGCCTGTGTATGCTTGCCCAGCCTTGGGATTATAGATGCACACTGCCACTACATGGGTGTTGGGGATCTGAACTCAGGTAGTCATGCTCGTGCATACTGACTGGGCCATCTTTCCACTCTCTTTTGGTTTTGTTGTTGTTGTTGTTGTTTATTTTAGCATGTGCAAGAGGTAAGTCCTGTGGTGTGCCACTGTGTGCATGTGGAAAGCAGAGGACAACTGAAGGAATTGAGTTCTCTCCTACCGTGTGGGTTGAACTCAGGTCCTCAGGCTTGGTGGCAGGTGCCTCCACCCACTGGGCTTCTCACCAACCTCGAATTTGTTTTATTCTTCGAGGCCTTTTGCCTCTGAAGTGATGGGAGTGCAGGCTTGCACCACTGCCTTTGGCCGGGCATGGACTTTTAGTAGAAGCCTAGAGTTAGGGGCTAAGCCCCAGTATGGGGTGTGACTCCACTGTGTCTAAGGCCTCTTTTCTCCCATTCTCTGGCCCTGGCAGGAGGAAGAGGACCTTCCCTATGAGGAAGAAATCATGCGGAACCAGTTCTCCGTCAAATGCTGGCTCCGCTACATCGAGTTCAAACAGGGGGCCCCAAAACCCCGGCTCAATCAGTTGTATGAGCGGGCGCTCAAGCTGCTTCCCTGCAGGTGCAAATGGCCCTCCCTGTGCTACCCTGCTCACCAGCCCCTACCCCTCCACATACAGTCACATCACAAGTGATAATGCGTCCCAGGTGACCCCTTTATATTCCCTTACTGAAGTAGCCCCTGATGGGCCATGCCTTCCCTCCTGTCCCAGTCTTACCCTTCCTTGAGCTCTCTTACCCCTCCTCAGTCCCTTTTTTCACCACAGTTGCCTCTAAAGCAAAGAAAGGGTTCTGGGGTTCCAAAGCCCATCATATCTGTCTTTCCTGCTCTCTAGCTACAAACTCTGGTACCGCTATCTGAAGGCACGCCGGGCACAGGTGAAGCATCGCTGTGTGACTGATCCTGCCTATGAAGATGTCAATAACTGCCATGAGAGGGCCTTTGTGTTCATGCACAAGGTGGGGAGCCGGAGAGGGGGGATGCAGTGTGTTCATGCACAAGGTGGGGAGCCGGAGAGGGAATGCAGTGTGTTCATGCACAAGGTGGGGAGCTGGAGAGGGGTGTGCAGTGTGTTCATGCGCAAGGTGGGGAGCCGGAGAGGGGGGATGCAGTGTGTTCATGCGCAAGGTGGGGAGCCGGAGAGGGGGGATGCAGTGTGTTCATGCGCAAGGTGGGGAGCTGGAGAGGGGGGGATGCAGTGTGTTCATGCGCAAGGTGGGGAGCCGGAGAGGGGGGATGCAGTGTGTTCATGTGCAAGGTGGGGAGCCGGAGAGGGGGGATGCAGTGTGTTCATGCACAAGGTGGGGTGCTGGAGAGGGGTGTGCAGTGGGAACTATTTCCCAAGGGAGATGTGAACAGACGTCTGCCCTTATAGTACTCCAACAAAAGGATGGGTCCACTAGAATGTTCCGCCAGCTCAAGGAACTAAGTTTGTTGGGCTGACTTACAGAGCCTGAGTGAGGGGTGATGAGACCTATTGCCTCCCTGTTGCCCTTATGTTCTAGATAGGATGGTAAGCAAGCATGGAGCCTGTGGCTCAGACAGACCTAGCCCGTCACTCTCCATTATTTCCAGATGCCACGTCTGTGGCTAGACTACTGCCAGTTCCTCATGGACCAGGGACGAGTCACACACACCCGCCGCACCTTTGATCGGGCTCTCCGGGCACTGCCCATCACGCAGCACTCTCGCATCTGGCCCCTGTATCTTCGCTTCCTGCGCTCCCACCCACTGCCTGAGACTGCGGTGAGAGGCTACCGTCGCTTCCTCAAGGTAAGCATTATTGAATAGCCCAGTTCCCAGGTCAGCTTCCAAACCTTGTCTCATTGGGATAAGGGCCCTCATGCAACAGATACAGTTTATTTGTGATTTCTTTCTGCATGCGTGCGTACTTGCATACTTGCAAGGCAAATGCTTTGTACACTGATCCTTCTCCCCACCCGCTGTGGTTTATTATCTTTAGTTTTTAAGTAGTTAGCTTTTAGCTTGTACCTGCTCCACAGCAGGTATAGCGATGAGAGCTAGAGACAGCATGCATAAGGCAGTCACCACCAGCTGCACAGGACTTTCAGTAGACATATGGGTGAACCAGCTATGTGAAACAGAGGAAAACCACAGCCGTGGTAAGAGGCGGGATAAGACACATATGCAGTGGGCATCATGGCAGGCGGAGCATTTGTGCTCAGCTTGTGATATCTGTT